TTATGTTTACTTGAAACATAAATACATTTCCCATGGATTACTGTTTTCAAACTGTGCACAATAGGATTATTCAAGCTGTCTTCTGAAATAAAATGTAGACGTTGCACAAATATCCCTCTTAGTGGCCTCTGGCTTTGCTTGTCTATTTTGGACTGTAATTCTAGTTACACGCCTCACAGTAACACACAGCACATACTCTATATCTCATTCATGAATTCTTGGAACATCACATAAATGACTCATTTTCGTCCTCCCTCTTTCTCAAAGAACTGTGTGATGTTTTCTCAGAATTTTTTTATGGATGGAGAAGAGCTCAACACATTCTTTAAACTAACGGTGCCGATACTTTTTTTTTTTTGGACTGATGCCAATAAGGAATCACTTGTGTCTCTCAAGTCCACTTGTCTCTCTCATGTCCATCAGTTGAACTATACATTTTTTCTTCAGTTACTTTGATGGAATATATTATAGCAAACTGCATTTTTATCTTCATAAAGGAGCAAAGTGAATATTTGTGTCTCTCCTGTAGATTCTTTCCTAAGTGTGTGGCTCCTTCGGACAGATCCACAGTGCCTTACACACCTCGTATTATCCTGAGCTGTCTTGTCTTTTTATTTGTTTCTTTTTGGCAGGTGGATACGCTGCACAACCCCAACCCCAAAAAACATTGCACAAAGTCCTTTGTGTACCTCTCCACCATGAATGTATTATAAAAACAAGTTTTAAGCCAAATTCTTCTTAAAACCATTGCAAAGAAATATTCATAACCATTTAACGTAATAACTTACCTTGAGGTACTTTTTAGACATTAAACACTTTGGATCTCCAGTTTCTATCACTACCACTGTGAACTAATCTGACTAGGAGCATTTTACAGCAGAGCACTCTGAATGACTTTGTTTACATCTTAACCATTTATAAATGAAGTCATTAAAAAAATCTGTGGAATTCCTCTTTAAGGAATCGAAAATAGTTCTTCTGTGGAATTGATTAAAAACCTCTTCCTGGCACCTTTAATTTTAGGAGGGTACGAACCTCGAATCCAACTCTCAACCGAAAGGGGACAGTTTATGTTTGAACATATGAAGAGGACCCCCTTAGCAATAATGTTACGAATATTGCCATGACCTTCTGAAACAAGGCCCTCCACTCTTGTCTATCTCAGTCTGTCCTTTTTTATCACAGAGCCGTATGCAAGCTGTGGAAAAGGGGAGACTGAAAGAGATTGACAGGCAGAGAGCAACAAAGGAAGAGACTGACAATGAGAGTGGGTGTGACACAAAAAATGTAGGCTTCAGGGAGAGATGGGCTGAGGCAGGCAGGCAGAGCTTGTGAGAAAAAGAAGAATTTAGAGTTGATACTGTCTTTCACAGGCTTAACACTCTAAAAATAGTAATTGCACTTGCTGTCCTGGAATGAACCCTGTTTGTCAACAGTACAGTGTGTGTGTTTGTCTGGGAGCGACATGTGGTGAGCTTTTATTTACTCACACCCAGATATGAAAAAGGACGAGCTACTCAAACTGAATAATGCAAAATGACCTAAACTTGACCTACAACAAAGCTAGCACAATACAGAAAGGGAATAGAGCACATTTCATCAAGGTTTTCCACTGGTCCTACATTAACCTACACCCAAAGAGCCTAATCTATTGTTTCCTCATACCTGCAAAGTATACCTGCAGACAGAGAATGAGCACAGAAAAATAGAGAGAAAGATTAATTCAGAAGGGATCTTCTGAATCCTTGCCATACCTTATTCAATGATGTAGGTCTTATTTCCTGATTTCCTTGCACATCTGATTCAATCTGGTATTTTCCAGACATAGTAGGTGTGTTAGAACACCAAAATCACATGCACTGTGCTCTGTCTGCAGCCTTCTAGGACCAGAAATGGGTTTCCCATGCTGTAGATCTTGTGTCTGACTTAGAAACCAGAGAAAATGGCCTGTGGCCTAGTTTTGTTGTTGACATACGCTACTGTGGTGTATTATTTTAATTCTCTAAGACTAAGTGCTGCATCAACGAAGAGCTGCAGTCCAGTACAGTTGTATTATTTCCCTACTTAAACACCCTTACTAAGTATCTTTTAAGGACCTGATATGAGCTGGATAATCACCAAACTGTGCTGGATTACAGCCCAGCAAGACCGGAAGTGAAGGCCCTTATATGCCTTTCTCAGGGATCCCACAAATCATAGAGGTGACAACACAAAGATGTAATGCTTTCTCATAATATGAGGGTTCTATCAGGCTGGCATGTCATTTTCAGTTTTCTAATATGTCAGAGATACATTAATGGTATTTGAATTCAATTTTTAATCTATAAAAAAACAGAAACAGCTCCCTCTTCGTTGCTCCTCTTCCGTCAGGATGTACGAGATGCTGCTAACAAACTTTCTTGGTTTTCCTGAGCAGAAGAACAATCAACAGTTTTATTTATATCTCTTGGTTACCTGCTACCTCTTTTGCCTGCCTCTACATAGGATTGCTCTGTAAAATTCCTGGACACTCTATTAGTTGCTTGATTCTTTACTAAATTTAATGGATGGGTGTTCAAGATGCAGTCCATATTAGATAGATGTCAGTCCCCCTACAGAACCTAATATTCTCAGTTATTATGTTGATCATAGTGTTGCCTAGTGCACAGATATTCTTAAGTTTTAGATGTGTCTAATAAAACTTTGGGCCCACCAGTGGGCTCTGGCTTGTTAAGGGGTTAAACCTCACTGGACATACTAACATATCAAAATGCCTGAAATGAAGGACCTAATTTTTCCTGAACAGGCAACCAAGAACCTCGACAATCCAGAGAAAATCTGGACAAGTGGCAACACTACCTCAAAACATCTTCTGAGTTTTGATTACATCACCTTGGATGGACAGGGAAGAATAATACTGATAATAATACCTCATTACACCTCCCCTTCCCACCACCTCCACCTATCATTGAGCAAAATACTCAGCTAGCTCAGAGACCCTCCCTAATACAGTGTTTGACTTGTGTCCCAATACAGACGGGAAATATTTATTGTAGGGCAGGAGGATAAACCTTAAAGTTTCAATAAACTAAATTACATGCTAGTAAATGCATGGCTACATGTGGAAACTGTGGTGAAAAATGAATACTGAGACAAATGAGCAGGCCGTTTAGCATACCGTACCTTTGAAACATGTTTTCCTTTTATTTATTTTTTTTAATAAAAAAGTAACAAATATGTACATCTGTTTGTTTATAGCTGAACAAATAAGTAATTTAAAGCATCAAAGCTTCTCCAACTCCAGATTTCAGCAACACAGGGGGTCTTCAGAAATGCAGATGACTGCAAAGCACAATGTCTGTATAATTTACAGCTGTATGAGACCCTTGTTCTTCAACGCAGCAACTGTGTTCAGCCAGATTTCTTTGTACGAAGCTACTTATAGGGCATAAGAACAATTGCTTGTTCATCACTCTGGATTGTAGGTAAAGAAAAACAGCGAATTTCAAAGTAAGACACATTTGGTAAGGAGAGGTTTTATACATATTCGGTCAAGTCACTCAACAAAAAATTAAAACACAAATACAAACAAAAAAATGAAACAACAAATAACAGTGCTTCTTGAAGTCATTTAAAACAAGTAAAGGAAAAAACAAAGCAAAAACACACCAAAAACAGTGGTAATGAAAGCACTTGGTCATCTCATTTTGTGAATCGTGACTCACAGGTGGGTGCATTACTTCCAGTGACACAGAGTGAACCAGTGCGTGCATTATAAAATAATCACAACATGAAAATACTCCCCTTTATTTTGACATATTTTGAAACCTGGCTGGTACGAAGCAGACAATCTCCAATGCACACAGAACTTTGCTGTGTACTTTCCACGTAGGCCATGAGTATCCACCACTTCTATACTCTATGCCTTTCCAGGATTCTGGACCTGCATAGACCTTGAATACACTCAGATACCTGACCAATTCAAAGAAGAAGCTCAATACAGAGTGAAATAACCCACTGCACTCAAAAGCTTTTTTCTCATGGGATCTTCCAACACTGGAACGTGCTAACATCACACCAAATAAATATCTGACACTAACAAACCCTCTCAAAACATTTCCTTGCTTTTCAGTTCTGGAGTCAAGCTACTTTTCATCTAAACTGTGTCCTTGGCCAAACCACTCCATTTGAATCCTGCATTAACCCCAAAAAATAGCAGTGCTGTCAAATATTTGTTTGTTTTCCATTCTTTCATTCCTTCACATCTCTCTAAGACATATTCTCACAGGCCCAACTCATGCATCTCCCCTCTGTAATCCTTATTCCTCTTCAGTGATGATTTTAATAAGTCTTCAATTGTTCATAAGTCTCTAATTAAAATCCTGGAATGTTAAGTTTTTCTCTTATTTAAATTGTAAATGACTTTGCATCAAATAAAAATAAATAAATAAAATGTTTGAAATATTCAAAATACAAACAGCAAACTAGGATTACTAAAATAACAGCAAACCTTACTGATATATGAATAGCCACAACTTTATCAAAACCATAACTTATAGTCTAAAAATATAGTCTAATCTGAAAAAGATATGTTGAACTTGCTATAATAAAACAAGGCAACATGTAAGGAATAGCATAGTAGTAACTGCCTTCATTACATGACAACCTTTCGTCTGTGTAATCTATCGCAACATATACCTTAACCTTTGGTTTCGGTCTTGCTGAAACCAAGACTCTTAATGAAGCTCTTAATGAAAATGTAGTTCATTTTCAAATCTGAAATCCACCAAATTATCGTTCAGAAATATGAGCAATTAAATTACTGGATAAATCAATGTAAGAAACAGGGGCAGCCTGAGCTGTTTTTTCTTTAACATTTTTAATAATTTCCATTAACCCAATGTTATCTGCAAAGGCCCGGATGTTTTCATTCCAACATTCAACTTCATTCAACTCTTAGAAGACTGATACCAACTAATCTGATTGGGTGCACTGCGCAATAATAAAAACACAAGCAAATATTTCAATCTGGTGTCTTTTTTTATTTTCTATTTTGATACATATTGGAATTATATTGACAGAAAACAAATATATTCAGTCACATTTTGTAATTCAAAACATACTTTCTGGTGGATCACAACCTACGAATAAGGCTACTCTGAACCCTCAATTAACCAGGCGGTGCCCCGTAAAGACCTTCAGAATTAGTATCTATGCTGGTTATTATCGCAGCCCTTTTATCAGGCAATTCATTATAGCTGATCAGGGAATACTAAAGAGAGCGCACCCATTGCAAAACCCCACTCATTCCCAGTAGCACCTTGGGACATGATGTTTATTTTCCAAACAACAGCATTCCAATTGGAGCTGTGTAATATTTATTCAGCATACACAATACTACTTACTAAATTTCCTGGCATCACTAGCCAGGGTTATTTAACCTCCATCAACATAACCTACTGGGCAACGTGTCTGATAAGCCTTCAGCAGGTGGTATGATACCAAATTCTGACTTCAAAACAGTCATCTTTGGTGAACAACCATTCATGTCTGCGTTTGCCTGAAGCCCAGCCACTAACTTCCTCCTTCACTAAACAAACAGTGCATTCAAAAGCACTACAACAGACAATGCCTGTTCCTGCAACCACAAATGAAATTCTTCCTCTAGAAGAACTAAATACTATTTTGCACAGCAATCAAAACTGGACATCCCAGTCTTAGCTGCCCCGTTTTGGGATAGCATCATATGCTTTCACATATTACACAAATTCAGACAACACTGTGATTTTAACTGATGTTTTCTGGCTGGTGTTTGTCCCGTGGAGGCCAATCCACTTGACATCCTCAGGAACAACAGGCTGTGCTTGTATAGTTTGTGTTTCAGCGTTGAATATGTGAGTTCTGAGACACTGGTCACCCGGATTTCACCTACAACTTCACTGAAATGGGGACAAGAATGTGTTTCCCTACTTGAAGAGAAGGCATTTTGGTGGTTTCTAAAAACACCTTTGTGCACTAATCATTGCTTTTACAGAGTGATGACAGAAGTACTTTCAGCGTGATACAGCAAAATACGTAACCAGGAAGAAGAGACTGTTACAAGTACAGTGACTGATTGAACACTCACACAAAAAGGTACTGTTAAAATAATGGTAACATGTACGTTTAGACATACTTCACAACACTTGTTATGGCATACAGCACTGCAAAGAATAATTAAGATTGTTCATAAAACTCTGACATGTAAATTTCCCACTTTTTCTCTTTTCTCAATTTGAATTTTGCCAAAAATGACTTCAACATTTGACTTGACAAATATCTGTCTATTTTAATAATAGGTGGAAAATGTATCACTACTGTCAAGTTTTAAAAATAGAGTAAATCTGAATGGAATAATAAAAACTACAAATGCATATATAAGATACAGCCTCCATCCCTGCTTGATGTATTTACTCTTGATATAAATGATCCTTCAAGAAAAAAATGCAGAAAGCCAGCCAAGGGAGTGCTTACAGTGAATAAGGCAAAATTCACAAATTTCTACAACTAATACATGTCTTTGTCTAGAAATATATATATAAAGACCCACTGTTTCAGTAGTGCTTTTGGTCACAATGATGTAAGGAACAACAGTTGGACTATATTTAAGAATTTGTTGATCTGATATGAAGGCAATGGAAAAGGCCAATTTATAGCAGAATGAGGAGTGTCCAGAGAGCCCATCTTATGGAAGCTACAAAAAATACCAGTTTTTACAGAACCCATATAGCTTTTGTAATAACAAAAAGATCATACACATACTCTTACTGCCCTTCACACTGCCCAATGAGTAGCAGGCTACAGGGAGAAGTAGACAAACATGAAGAGACCAAGAGAACAGACTATTATCAGGCCAAAGTTTAACAGAAGCTTGATTTTCGGGGGCTCATAAAGCATCTCCATGAGAATCCGTTCATCTTCTTCAGTGGCTTTGGGTGCAGGAGTTGCAGCTTGTTCTTTGTACCCACAGATCCAATCAAAGAGGCGCAGACACATGCCCTTCTCAAACTGCCTGCTCCCATCATCCTTACGCCCTACCAGCTCTGCATGCCCATTGCTATACGCCTCCACTGGGGTGGGTGCATCTGTGCTAGGACTCGCAGGATCCTGGTCACAAGGGGAAGGCATGAGGAGTTTTAGATCAGCCCCATCAAGACATCGCTCTTTCTGGACATCCAGAGGCAGGTCTTTCTGGAGCATGCTGTTACCATTGCAGTGGACAGGACCCTTATGGGTCAACTTGTATGTTTCCTCCCGTTCTGTCACTGGTAGCTTTTCCACATTGCGTAGTCCCCACACAGTGGTGCGCTGAACCTTCTCCTTGGTTGGGGCAGGGGTGCAAAGACTGACCACTACAGCCACCAGTCCAGAGACCCAGAAGAGCCCAGCAGCTATGTACATGTAGTGGACATGAACGATGAAAGCTGGCCTCTCATCTGTTTGGTTGCATCGAGGCTCGCGATAGACGAAACCAAGAATAAGACGTGTCGTACCCAGAATGAAGCCAGTCATGCCACCCCAGAAGGCACCAGTCTCATTGCAGCGCTTCCAGAAGACACCGAGAAGGAAAAGAGCAGCGATGGGTGGTGTCAGATATCCCGCCATTTCCTGGATGTACAAGTACATCTGGCCACCTTGCATCTCAATGATGACGGGCACCCAAGCAATGCTGATAGTCACCATGACGATCACAAAGAGTCTTCCCACCACAACCAGCTCACGGGAGGAGGCACAAGTCCGCACCATTTTGTAGATGTCCAGAGTGAAGATGGTGCTGGCACTGTTGAATATAGAGTCTAGGTCACTCATAAGTGCAGCAATCATAACAGCCATCATCAGTCCCCGCAGGCCCACTGGCATTATGCTCATGACCAGTCGTGGGTAGGCAATGTTAGAACAGCCAGCTTGGCTGCCGCACACAGCCATGCAGTGCTCTGGGCCGATACAGGCAAGCTCATCTGGAAACATTATCCGTGAGATCATTCCTGGAATGACAATGATGAACATAGGCAGAATTTTCAGCAATCCTGCCATAAGAGTGGAGCCCTTGGCATGAGCAATGTTCTTAGCAGCAAGTACCCTCTGAACTATGACCTGGTCAGCACACCAGTACCAGATGGATGCAGGAGTCTGGCCTAACAGGAACCCTGGCCAGGGAATGTCCTCATCGAGGGGACCTCTTAAGAGTTTGAGGGAATCCAGCTTTGGGTAAATGCGACAAGAATTTGTGTAGGAAAAACTGTAGTTGTGGCTGGCGAGGATGGCAGTGACATTTGGAATTGCTTCCATGTACTTCTCTCGAACACCATCCAGTCCACCTACCTTGACCAGGCTGATGACTGTGAGGCTCAAAGCTCCACCGATCATGAGCACTGCTTGAAGAGTGTCAGTGTAGATCACAGCAACCAGACCACCTGTTATTGTCAGCAGGGCTGTCATGGTGATAAGCAGGATGATTGACAGGTAGAGATTCCAGCCTAAGGACTCTTGGATAAAGAGTGCCCCTGCATACAAGTCCACTGAGAGTTTGGTGAAGATGTACAGCAAAAGAGAAAGAGCAGCAAAATAAACTTTTAGCCTTTTACCCCCGTAGCGCTTGGAAAGGTACTCTGGCATGGTGTAGACACCAGAGTGGATATAGACTGGGATGAACACCCAGCCCAGGAGCTGAAGGAGGAGGAGAGCATTGAACTCCCAGGCACCAACAGCAAAACCACTTGCTGCACCCGAGCCAGCCAGGCCGATGAAGTGCTCGCTGCCAATATTGCTGACAAACAGCGACGCTCCAATCACCACCCAGTTCATAGTTCGTCCAGCTAGGAAGTAGCCACTTACAGTGCTTCGGTTGGCCTTCCACATGGCAAAAAATCCAATGCCAAGCACAAGGACAAAATACAGTGCAACGACTGCAATGTCTGCTATCTCCATTGATGGCCCCATGTTTAAATGCTTATTGGTACAGTTCAAACCAATACAAAGGTACAACTATGAAAAAAGGTGTTTACTTGAACAAAGGTGCAAAGTTATGCAAAAAAGAGGAATCTTTTAATCCTTTGGTTTGCTGTCTTTCTGGAAGGAAACAAATGCATCCACCATCTGTTGGGTGAATTGGTATTTGGCTTGTGCATTTAGTTTTAAATAATCCAACGGTGCTCTCGTGAAGCACAGGGGGTATTTTGGAGTAGATCTTTCAGGCCTCTGGTCTAGTAAAGTCTAGAGTTTACATTCCTGCAAGACAGCAATGAGGGAGACAGAAAGAGAGAAACAGAGAGGGAGAGAGAAAGAGGTGCATGCATTAGAACAAAGTGCTGCGTAGACAGCTATACTGGTAATGACAAAATCCTTTTCACTTGAACCTATGTTCACTACTGTCCATGAACAGCACAAAAATACGATTTTTATTCCTGTTGTTTAAAAATTGCATTTTTGCTTTTTAATAAAATATTTATTTTCTCTGTACATAAATAAAACACACTTTTACCCAGATGTATAATATTGGAAGCTAAGTGGAGTTCCCACTGTTCCTGCCAGTTTCATACAAGTGTAGTTCAAACATAAAGTACTTAAGCCAGCAGTATGCTTCAAACAAAAAAGATGCTTCAAAGCAAAATAAAGTCTTTTGCCAAAGCACTGCAGTGCAGGGTGCACGGGCTGCTAAACATAACTCCTAATCACCGCGAGATCTCTCCTTTACTGTGATTGGTCCAAATGTCATATGATCACCTGCCTCACTGCACAGAATGGGCTTCAAAGGGTGCTAAGTGTCAAAAAGCCCTTTTTTAAAATACACTTACAATAGTGTTTGGCAGTAGTACAATTTTACCTAGCTCTTTTATTGTTTGAAGTACACTTACAGTTTTGATGGGGAATGCACGCTAATTAGGATGTACTTACTTCATTGTTTTTTTAATATCTGCATTTTTAAACAAGCTTAAAGTTGCCTACTATTTGCTAGGTTTGTTTAAGCTGGAATTTAAAATAAATATCATGGTGATAATTCAAGTATTTAACACACCCAACATAAATAAATGAAGAGATTCAAGAAACGCATGGATGAATGCTCAAAGTCACTGGTGACCTTACTATGTCTTCTGAGCTGAATGACTTCACGCTGTTCAAAAGCACATCATTTACATGCTCGTACGTTTGCATAACCTAAACACATGCAAATGTGCCGCTTCACTTCCCTCCAGTGCACCACCATTTCAGATCTCACACGCACACTCAGGGATAGAAATCCCTGAGAATCAGAGGTCAGCTTATTACATAATGCTGCATGTATGGTTCTTAGTTATTTTTATTTCATTTGTGTCATGAACTCTGCACACCAATGTTTATTTCAATTCTACATATGAGCTCTTAATAAGGGATTTGGCTGACTGAAGCTATTATAACAGAATAGAACATATGCCACTTTGATACAACTTATATGAGCAGGCAACACAACTTAAGACTGTCCACAGCATTACTGTTCATTCAACTGAAGCTGTCTGCATCTGTGAAAATTACTGTGATTACAACACCATGTTTTACAAAAGCTACAACAATGCAAGAGAATCTACTGAAAGCATCATCTTGCCAGTTATATCAGAAAACATCTGCACCACTGCCCTCTCTTGGTACTCATCCTCATATGGCACATACACTGCTCCATTTTTAAGCTATATTTAATACGATATCATTTGATCCTTCAATGCAAAAAATCATTTCTTCTTCCAACCCATTCAAATACATAAAATAACATAATATAGAAACATAATTCTAGCTTGTTGACGTGACCAGTGCCAAGCACTACCAAGTACATTTCTCTCATACCTGCAAAGCAGCTTGAACTAAAAAACAGTATTTCTCTCTTGATGTTCAGTACGTCCCATCTACAGTTCCTTCCTTTTGTCCCACTTAGCTCAAAAATAAGTGTTTGTATGCTTACATCCTCTATTATCTGCTTTTACTCTGTACTGTAGTGATCTTCCACTCGACACATGCACATCTGGCAAGAGCACAGATGAAACAGGTTACACCAGCATGGCTTGAAGCTACACTGTAATTTCCTGTCAGCCTCTACTTGCAAACCGTTATCAGACAATCCATTCTGTGGCAGAGCTTGCTGATGAGGTCAGGCTCCAAAGCCAAAATTCAGGGCTCCATTAAGGTTAGTGAGCTCAGGCAGACTGACTGGGCTAATCCCCTTGTACTGCATTCACTGTCAGCCAAAAAGGAGGTGAGGGTGCCAGCCAACTCTCTCCTCTTACATGCAGCTCAAAGCCCAGCATGATACTGGATCGTACTGCCAGTCTATGCATTACTTGGATGTGCTCTGGTAACCCCTGGCAAAAGATCAGCTGCCTCGCATTCAAGCAATAAGAAGTGACAATACTATATGTGTCTTTTTGATGCACGCCAGGAAAAAAACGAACCCTCGAGACCCTTATGAACCATGACGAACGATTATTTCCCATAAACCCTGTCAACTTACTGCTAGTCAGGCGCCGAAAAACTAACGTAAAACTCTGGCGAGCGGGTTTTGTGGTTAATCCAAAATGTTTTTAACCCCACTAAACAGCAGTACTACACAAGTAACTTGTCGTATTGGATGATATGTATGTCTCTTATTTCAGAAAAACACAAAGCGCTTAGCAGCGATGAAGGGGAGTGGCAGATTTTAATCACTTTAATCACTTTCGGCGACGTCACCCGACAGAAGAACACAAGCGAGAGTTTGAGCACGAGCGGCACCAACGTGAATCCAGCGCGTGGAATTTTCTAGAATTTGTAAGCGGGCTGAAGGCGCAGATCTCTGCTGATTTCGGTGTCAGACAAAATTAATAAACCATCTGTCACTGCCACAACATCGGCTAAATACAATGACATTTTTTGTTCTGTGTCTAAGAGAACAACCGTTGCCCATCCAGCAATCAACACGCTATCAGGGCACGACTTTTAAAAAATAAAACATCCTCGTCACAAACAGCACCTACACGTCACGTTAGCTCCACCAAGATGGTTCGGCATCTAAAAACAGGAGCACACACCTCCCGCCGAGTCAGAGCTTTAATATTCTGAATATCTGTCCCTTTTCTCTCCACCAGACTACACACTTTTCGCTCACTGCTTGTCAAATGAAATGACAACCGTGAGGAACGACTTACCATTTTCATGGTATGAGTTAAAAACCGTACGACGTTGCTATCTGAGCGAGCCCACTGAATGAATTAACGACTCCGGAAGCGCCATAGAATTGTTTTTACTTCCACTGGCGGAGCTCATTTGGCCACGTCTTCCAGGATGCCGTCAGCGTAGAGCTGGTCGAAAACGTGACGAATATTTACATGGGTTGTAAACAGCTTTTGGTAGCACTGCTACTATATGGTCTCGTCCCCCCTTCTTTCGTTCTTTCTTTTTTCTTTTTTCTTTTTTTCCTTCTCTCTCTTTGTCTTCTTCCTCCTCAGCTGGTGGAGGAATAGCAGCGCGCTGATCCCAGGACGCTCTTAAAGACACGAATCCTTTTTGTCCCGCCCCTAACGTGTGGTTGGTACATGTGAGGGGAGCACAGACTCATATCAAGGTCCCGTATCTGTGCTAGGCACTCCCACCCAGGTCAGGCAAAGCAGGTCTTTACAGTTTCCCTTCCCTCTCGGATTATTATTGCTATTATTTATTTGCTTTATTTATGCTATTAGTATTTACTCCTTCTAATGATTTCTTGTAAGCCCTTATTTAACAATATTAGAAACTGCTAGAGGCCTGCTGATTTCCATGCCAGGATAATGAAACGCTCTCTTAGTAGCTCAGTTTAATAACTGAGTAATAATACTGTACTATAAGGGGGTTAATACAAAAGGATTTGTCCTGTTGGTCAGTGTGACGTTAACACAGTAAGTTATACACGGTAATGAGGGAGAGGCACATATGGGTCTAATGGTGAGCCACTCTCAAGGAGCTGCTTGCCTCCTCATTCAAAAAGATACACCCATAGAAAGACGTCATGTAGTGTTCCTTGAGAGTTGTAGTTCAGAGCAGACTTGTATAAGAATTTAGTGCGCTGTTATTATGCTGGTCGAACAAATTTTTCTCTCCATAGCATTCTCACAGTCGTTGAATACATGCATTTCTATATGAACTTTTTGCTGAGGACTAGACACTATTTCAAAATCCTATTGGTTACCTCTCAACTAACAGCCTGTGATAATAGCCTAAGTTTAAAGGGATACTTTGGCCAAAATGACAAATGTACCGTCACTACATCTTGCCTGCTTGCCTTCTGCAGTGATGGCGCAGTAGTCTCTACAGTGAGGTTTTCTGTTTTGGGTCATTCTACAGAAACATCCATTTTTGTTTCCCTAGCATTTACAGATATATTACACTTACGTTTGGGTTACAATTTATTTATATTTTAAAATATAACAATAAGTTATTTTAACAATTACACCTTCTTGAGCCATCAATTTAGCAACATTGGTTTTTAAATCAATTACCTAGAATTCTAAGCACCACAAAAGTGTTTGTCCCCATAGCCATGTGTAAAGGCACCATATTTTGAAGAAAAAAAACACGTTTTCTGCAATTTTAACCGCAATAACCTATACATGACTATGAAATATGTGAATTAACTGACATAAAGAAAACAAATGCCAAATAAATATTATAAAATATATAATGTAAGTTGTTGTCCCCAGGAGACGTGTCACTGGTGTTACCGCGTAACAAAAAATCTCTTTAGAAATAAAAATCACACTGATGACATCACTTGACTTCTTTTTACCTATTTTCTGAGAATCTATGAAAAAAGCACATGGTAAGGCCACTGAGTCTTCTCAGTTATCAGAAAATTTCTCATTTAGCTCTTTAGTTGAGGTCACTGGTGTGACCTACTTTATTCTTAGATAACTGTGAAAAATTAGAACACAAATGGATTAAAATACATATTTTAGTGCATATTCTTTGATTGACAACATGTGGTTTGATGCTCTGTAGCAGCCATTTAGTAAAAAGCATTTTTTATTAAAAATGTCACTGGTGTTACTGTTTCTGGTGTTACCTTTCTTATGTGTAACACCAGTGAGGATCAGTAACACAAGTGACACCTATGAAGACATGAAAAGTGGATGTTTCTGTAGAATGACCCTTTTATGAAACCCCCTTTCTGATGATGGATCTTGAAGGGAGGAAGTACATGTTGGGTACTGTAGTGAGACACTGATGGATGAAAACTCCTGAATTCTGTCAAACTGACAAGGCTGAGTGATGCAACACTACACTACAGAAAATGAATGCCTAAGAGAACTGACCCTTGAAAATATTTTTATTGTACAGAAATAACTGTTTTCTTGATATATTCCCCAGGCCCTGTTTTCACCTCTTTACATAAAGTCAGAACTTAGGAGGAAAGAGCAGTTTTCTCTTAACCACGTTTGCCTTTTAGCCATATTCAAAGAATTTCACACCACAGAATCTTTTTTTGTCCAGCACTCCATACAATGCCTCACTATGACATCAGGCTTTTGCACGTGCTCTCATAGTCAAAACAAGGAGGATACAAATACAGACAAGCTGTGCTTGTGCAGCTCTATTGTATCAGTTCTTGTGCGCTCCTTAAATATGCAACTGTTCCCAGTCAACCTCTACCAAAACTGTAAACGTATCTTTAAAAGAAAACAAATATGTTATCGTTTTAGTGAGGCTTTTAAGTGAAAACACAAATGAGATTTTTTTTAGTTGATCACTGAAACCAAAATAATATCCTCCAAAAGTCAGACCTCAGAAAACACTTCCAATGTTCTTTGGCTCGTTTTTAATCCTACAACCCCAACATTCATGTACCATATTTAAGAAGGCCCTTGGATTCTAACCATAATGGGCATTTACTTTTTTAATCCATCTGTCACAATAGCAGAGCTAAAATGTGTTCTTAGTCTGTTTTCTGTCTTAAAATGCAGAATGATAATACAGGCAGTAAATCAAGTCTCTGTCAGCTGCGTTCACTGACACCGTTGCTTTAGAAAGAATGTAAGAATGCCCCTTATTAGCAGGCATGCATAAAATTGAGCCAAAAATGGCTAGCTAACTAGCTGTCTGTCACACTGCTGTCACATAAGATGTACATGTGACATTACCCTCAGATATTATTCGTAATTACTTCCTTTTGGACAGTCTATATTCTAATTTGAGATACCAAACAGTTTAGTCTATTGTCTATATTAATGTCTGCTTGAAATAGACATGCATTAATAAAGCCAGTGCTGTACATAGAACTGATGAGACGTGTCATTTGGCCTCGAAAGAAAGACAAAAACAGTCCAAATGCTATAAAAACAAGGAATCTGGCTAAGAAGTTCTGGTTAAGAATATTTCTTTTTCTTTCTCTCGGAACTGTATTTATGTTCAGACTTTTTTTGTACATTTCTGGCCTTCAATGTCGAACCTGCCCTTGAGGTCTCCGTCAGTAATTTTCCACAAACTGAAAACAGGACCAAACTATGTTTCCCACAATGCACTACAGCAGTGTCTGCCTTTTTTCATGCACATTCCCACACATGCACAGCTGCTTTGACCTATGCAGAGGCACAAGAAAATGGCAGCGGCAGGAAATTATGAAACACTTTTTAAGAAATTAGTACTGTACATTGTGAACCTGTTGTTATGTTTTCTGAACGTTTCAACAATATGGACCTGCGAGTGGCCAGACAGTGTACATTATTAAACAAATTTTAATCCCATGTCCAAAATGGTTCCCCTAATCTCTATACCCTACATTCGAAAATCTGGATCACTATATAGGATGCTATTATAAGAAACAGAATTGGTGATGGTAGAAAACAACTTCGGACACTACGTCATACGGGTTTGCTCATTACTGTGCGACAGCAGATTCTGTCACTATCATGTTTCTTCGCGTCTGGGGAGACTGACTTGGTCTCTTCCAGACTCCACCCATTCTCCTCCTCTCCTACACACCTGCAACTTATGTTGATCTCATTAGGACTGCTTTATATATAGTGTGTTCCATTCTGAAGGCAGCTGGCTAACTAGTCACTGCCTTCAAAGGCAGCTCTCCTGTTGGGCAGTATTTTAACTGAAAAGGAACCTTAGTAGGCATAGCATTTGGGACTGTGCTTCAGAGCCATCATACGTCATACACTATATTGCCAAAAGTATTTGCTCATCTGCCTTCACATGCATATGAACTTGAGTGACAGCCCATTCCTAATCCATAGGGTTTAATATGATGTCGGCCCACCCTTTGCAGCTATAACAGCTTCAACTCTTCTGGGAAGGCTTTCCACAAGGTTTAGAAGTGTGTTTATGGGAATTTTTGACCATTCTTCCAGAAGCGCATTTGTGAGGTCAGACACTGATGTTGGAAGAGAAGGCCTGGATTGCAGTCTCCGCTCTACTTTATCCCAAAGGTGTTCTATTGGGTTGAGGTCAGGCCATCCCCAAACTGTTCCCACAAAGTTGGGAGCATGAAATTGTCCAAAATCCCTTGGTCTGCTGAAGCATTAACAGTTCCTTTCACTGGAACTAAGGGGCCGAGCCCAACTCCTGAAAAACAACCCCACACCATAATCCCCCCTCCACCAAACTTTACACTTGGCACAATGCAGTCAGACAAGTACCGTTCTCCTGGCAACTGCCAAACCCAGATTCATCCATCGGATTGCCAGACAGAGAAGCGTGATTCGTCACTCCAGAGAATACGTCTCCACTGCTCTAGAGTCCAGTGGCGGAGTGCTTTACACCACTGCATTCGACGCTTTGCATTGCACTTGGTGATGTAAGGCTTGGATGCAGCTGCTCGGCCATGGAAACCCATTCCATGAAGCTCTCTATGCACTGTTCTTGAGCTAATCTGAAGGCCACATGTAGTTTGGAAGTCTGTAGGGACTGACTCTGCAGAAAGTTGGCAACCTCTGCGCACTATGTGCCTCAGCACCCGCTGACCCCGCTCTGTCATTTTACGTGGCCTACAACTTCGTGGCTGAGTTGCTGTTGTTCCTAATCGCTTCCACTTTGTTATAATACCACTGACAGTTGACGGTGGAATATTTAGTAGCAAGGAAATTTCACAACTGGACTTGTTGCACAGGTGGCATCCTATCACGGTACCATGCTGGAATTCACTGAGCTCCTGACAGCAACCCATTCTTTCACAAATGTTTGTAGAAGCAATCTGCATGCCTAGGTGCTTGGTTTTACACACCTGTGGCCATGGAAGTGATTGGAATACCTGAATTCAATGATTTGGATGGGTGAGTGAGTACTTTTGGCAACATAGTGTAAGTTTCACTGCGCTGTACATGTTTTATCTGTTTACTCACAGTCACTGGCTAGCTTACACTCACCTCCCATTGTAAAGGTGAATCATCTCAGTGAATAAGGACAGCTCTATTTCTGCAGCAGCTGTTTTCCTGCATTGACTCTGTTGTGGAAATGTGTGTATGAAGAACAGGCTGCTGTAAGGAGTCGTATCAGTTGTTATATACTCAACTCAACCC